GTATATTTGTATGCATTTGCTGACTGGGGTTTGAGTAATTGTATTTATCAATTGATTGGCAACAGAATAGCGCGCTGCTCTAAGAACGTGACTGAATCGAAAAGATGCTAGAAATAAATTGATATGCGATTTGCATATGCAGATAAATCAGGGCGGGGTAGGAGTAAAGCCGACTGAAGCGTTTTCGCTATATTTAGCAAAGTTTGTCAAGTACAGAAAATACCGCTATGGATTTAGTATTAAAGGGAATAATATAGTGCAGGCACATCTAGTTTTCTGTATTCAGACTTTACACAGTATAAGAGGGGATGTAGAATTGAAGATGCTTCTTCTTTTTCTATAAGGGAGTGACTGTGGAAATACAGGGTATAGTCGACATTTAAATTATAGATTAGCTGCTCTTCTGCTTCTCCTGTGCAATATGCTATATGCATATATATATATTATTTATACAATCGTCGGGATCTTTGAATCTGCAACATTCACTGAGGCGATCATCATGCAGCATAGCAAATTACAGGGTATCTGCTGTTCTATACCATCTGATTTCGTTACATTTTTATGCCTTGTTGATTTAGTTTGTATTTAGCTGCTGCATAAAAGATTCACCCCGTTAATGATTTCCTGCGGGCAGAGCTCGATTTAATGGCGTTTGGCGAGCAGCGGAAATTGAGGTAACGGAAGTGCAGCGAATCAAATGGGAATGTGTCGAGTGCAAAAGCGAATACGCTCACGCGTGGCGGATAGTGGAGAGGAGAGGCAGGAGCAGAGAAGGGCAGACACTTTGACATTTGACAAATACTTAACACTATTTGCCTGGCTTAATAAACTCGTTTTCGTTGACTTTAGCCGCCACAAACGACGGCCCGAGCTGGCAACTGCAGCAGAAGATAGAGGCGAAGAGAGAGAGTGAAAGAGAGAGAGAAGAAATGCACACAGTCAAGGACAATAGGGCGTGTGGGTGGGCGGTTGTATGCCGTGTCTGTCGGGCTGTAAAATAGCAGAGGGACGCGAACGAGCAGGAGGCGGGCACGCGTACGAGGCGGCAATGATTGATTGCACGTTAAAGCTCGAGAGCATCACATCATTTCCTTTTTACACTTGACAGGAAATGCATTTTTAGCTAGCGAAATGAGCAGTGCAGGAGAGAGAAAGAGAGCGGGAGAAGACAGAGAGGGAGAGATCAGCGAGGTATATACAAAATCACGGCAAGTGGCGTGAAAAAGGAAAAAAAGAGAGAAAGAGTGGGTGAGTGGGTGAGTGCCAGAGAGAGGGGGCTAGGTAGAAAGATAAAAAGCGGTCGACGCTTGCTGCGAATGCATCATTCAAAGGCAGTTCCACAGACAATTTACACAGAAATCAATGTGTGAGCAATGAGTGTGGGTCATTCGAGTGGAAAGTGCAGGCACGGCTTGCAGCTTGCCTGATTTCAATCCTTCGTTGCGGAACTGTGCCAGGGAATTTAAGCCAATTAGGTGTCAGGCGTTAATACCTCAACTCAGCTCAACTCAGCTCCGCTCATATATCGATCAAAATTTTCCATTGACAGGCAAATCCAAGCTCATAAACACCTTTCCGCATTCTGTGCATATGAAGTATTCATCGTGGCATAATTCAGCCAGGCAGTCAGCTTGGCAAAGACAAACGACCTGAGACGAATCGCATGTATGGCAAACATTTTGTCGACTGAATGAGTTCACAGACATGCCCTGCCCCTGCCCCTGCCCCTGCTCCTGCCCCTCCACCCCTCCAGCGCTGTCTAATCTACGACTCTACACAGATTTGTTTGTCGCCAATATGCCAGTCGAGATAATCCATCAAAATTGGCACTGAAACGGATATTCAAATGTGCGCACTCTATCCACAGTGAGCGTGGGCGGCACTCGGAACAGACAACAGTTAGCTACATCTGTCCAGCCAGTCGGCTAAGCAGTTTACGTTAAGAAAATGCGAGCAGTGAAAATAAAAGAACTGGAGAAGCTGAGCTTAAGCAGTGCATGCCTGCAATCCGAGAATCAATAATGGAAATAGCTAGAAAAGGAATGCAAGCAAAGCTAAAGTAAGTAAGGGCTCAGCTTGAGCTAGACTATAGAGCATCAGTTGATGTATGTATGTATCATATATGTACACTCATC